GAGGAGAGAAGGAAATGGAGAATCCTAAGTTCTCTTAACTTTCCTGTGAGAATGGAAACTTTCAACTTTTTTTCTTGAAAGTAATATATTGAAAACCATAATTTTAAAATATGATTTAAGTTTTGTTTTTACCTCTTTGTTGGATTAAATAGTACAGGGTTTAGAGGTCTTTCTCTATTCAACAGTATAAGAGGGTGGTTCTTTGACTATTTGGATTCTTCAATGGAATTGGTGTTTTATATATCTTTTATTAGTGATAAAAATGGTAACGTCATGTTGAATATTGTTAAAGTTTTGAGGATTAATAACCCACTGTAAGCATAACTGAGGGAAATTAATTAATGTTCTGCAACAGAAATGGAGTCCTTTACAACTGGTATAGGAAGCAAATCGAAGCCATGCACAAAGTTTTTCAGGTTCTAATCTTAACCTATCTAAAATGAATACTCTAAATGTAATTTTGCATATTGATAATTTATATAAATTCAAGAAAGAGTTTGTTATCCAGTTTTTGTGAGTAAATTTTTTGCAATTTGGACTAATGAAATGGGCGGTCAAAGCTGTGATACAGGTTGAACTCTCTGTTCTAATCATGATAACAAAGACTGAACAGATATGGTTGAATGACAACAGCTCGATTAAATACGTACTGGATCCTATGTAATTTAATGTGGTTGTATGGGATGCAGAAGTTTCCTTTATATGGTGTTTATATTTAGCTTCTTTTATATTCTTTGCAACTGAAATCAAAGCAATTGGTCGCTAAGTTTTAAAACAGGTTATTTTATGTTCGGACTATGAAAAAAAAGTAAGTTGAATTGAGAATTCTGATTCATTATGAGGTCTAAGTCATGATCTCTTTCAAAAACTATGGGGACTCCACTTGCATTTTGTTAAACTGTGTGGGACATAAAGCTTCTATTTAAACCGTCACTATTCCTTGATCTCTTTCAAAAAGTTTTAAATCTTTTTCCGTCTGTATTTCATTCACTGAATTTGTCCTAAGGTTTGTATAGGATGAGGTCTAAGTCATGTTGGTATCTTTATATTGTAAGAGAGAGATCTTGTTGTGAATTGTGCTACCTTTCCAATCTCAGACTTCACTCGTAGAAGCTTGTCTTTTGATGCTTTATTTCATTTTCGTTTCAGTATGAGGTAAGAGTGGTGGTGAAGTAGTTGGCTAATAGAAGATTGGCCTTGTATTCACCTTCTAAAAGAACATCTCTTCCACTGCTAAAGAAGCATTTCTTGCCTGAGTTGGCTAAAGTTAAAAAATATACATAGTTCCAGACTTTTTAGGATTTTTCATACATTTCATAAGAGAAACCAATTGGCTTTTTTGTTTTGTTTTGTTTTGGGGCAGTGATTCTGGTGAAGAATTTATTCTAAGTTTCGGTTTCCTTTATCCTATATGTGCTACACAGCCTTGTCTCAGCTGAGCTTATATATAATACGTGCTCATTACCCCATTTCTGATCTGTATGCTTGTTTGTCAGATTCCCTGTAATTTTCTGTCATATTTGTGCTCAGAAGTTTTTGCTTTGTTTCTATACAGCACTTCTGGGTGCCCTTTTGGTGAGGGATGTCACTTCTTGCATTATGTTCCAGGCGGCATCAAAGCGGTGTCTCAGATGACTGGTAGCAACCCAACTCTTCCTCCTCCTCCTAGAAACTCAGCAGCCCCTCCATCATTTCCAGATGGTTCTTCTCCTCCATCTGTCAAGACCCGGTTGTGTAATAAGTACAACACAGTTGAAGGTTGCAAGTTTGGGGATAAATGCCACTTTGCGCATGGTGAGTGGGAGCTTGGGAGGCCCACTGCTCAATCCTATGAAGATCCTCGTGGTGGGGGAGGATATCCAGGCAGGATGGGAGGAGGTCGGATGGAGCCTCCCCCGCAAACTCATGGAGCTGCAGCGAGATTTGGAGCCACTGCCACAGCTAAGATCAGCGTTGATGCTTCACTTGCTGGAGCCATAATTGGGAAAAATGGTGTGAACTCAAAGCAAATATGTCGTGTGACTGGGGCAAAGCTTTCTATAAGGGAGCATGAGTCAGATCCCAAGCTGAGAAACATTGAGCTTGAGGGTACCTTTGATCAAATTAAAGATGCCAGTGCCATGGTTCGTGAGCTTATTGTGAACGTGAGCTCAGCTGCGGGACCTCACATGAGGAACAATCCTGGTATGGCAGCCTCAGCTCCAGCAAGCAACTTCAAGACTAAGCTTTGTGAGAACTTTACTAAAGGCACATGCACGTTTGGGGATAGGTGCCACTTTGCACATGGACCTGAAGAATTGCGCCGGCAGGGGATGTGATTTCTTTCAATACCTCTCTCTCTCTCTCTCTCTCTCTCTCTCTCTCTCTCATGTCCTCTTACCATTCTCTCGTAGGATACGCATATTACAGCATTAATTTTTGTGTTCGTTGAATTTTCCAAGAGTGCAGTTTCCTTAGTTTTCTAGGGTTTTAATATTTGGAAATTTTTAGTAGCTTGCCATATTTGATCTCTACCTTGCCACTTTTGTCTTTTGGGATCACTCTGAGGTTTCTTTGTTGAACTAATCTAGCGATTAAGCATAAGTTGCCAGTAGCATGTGAAGTGGCAAATGCTATTCTTGGTTGCTTTATTGTGTTAATTTTGTTTTCATCAGATTAAAAAAGAAAAAGTAAAAAGAGATGTTAGAGAGTTGTTATTCAAGTTTTTCATTTTATCGTTCTTTCATGCTTTATAGCTTGCAGTCAATTGAGCCATTGCCGTACAATAATAAGATTGGGCCAATCGACCCTGCTCTGGTCAACTAGCTTACTAAGAAAATAAGAGACCCATGAAATGAAATGCAATTGAGGAAATGGATTAAACAAAATCGAACTCAAATTAATAGTGAGTGAGCCCCCTAGGTCACAAGGCCAACTGCTCCAACGGTATGGAAGCGCAGGGTTGTGGTGGATTGATACAGATCTTATTATTATTTGGTTAATTGGCCCTAATCTTAATCACAACTCTAAAGTAGAAATATAAACATAGAAAGTTAAGTCTTAATTTTTATTTTTTGAGAACCTTTCCTTATTGAAATGAGCGATAATATACTAAACTCACACACAACACAGATGCTAGGACTCAAACCCAGGATCTCACTTTTTGGGGGGGGGCAATACTCCAAGCCACTACACTAGTGTGTTATTTGCATTAAGTTTTAATTCTTAAATAAAACTAAAATGAAGTAGATAGATGACTCAGCACAATCCAATTCTATTTAATTATGAGTTTATTCTTGTGGGTCGAAAATTCAAACCCTATGGCAATTATTTCCTTATATATTCTTTAGAAATTTATACGTATTAGTAACTAGGTTTTCATTCAACGAAAAGAACTCATACACTAAATGAATCCAAATACTTCTAGGCTTTTGTTGAGGTTAATTTCATGCAAGTCAACTTGTTAAGACTTTAAGATCTATGATCAAGGGTTCCTATCAATTTATTAGGAAACCTAGCTTGTTTTAGCATATATATATATATATATATAAAGATATATGATATGAGCAAATAGAAGACAGAGAAAACATAAATCCAAATAAATAACCATACTTTAAAAAGCCAATATTATCCATGGCTAATATATTGTCATCCCAAAATAGAAGATGGAATAAAGTCATCGCAAACTTTTAAGAATCACAAACCCAACTTATTAAAGCTTAAACAGTTTAGGGCTTGGGAATAAGCATCCATTCTAAACCTAAATCGAAATTACTAAAGCTTGGAGACCGCATGAAGCTGTTTGAAAGCTGCTTCCGCAGCCTGCTGCTCTGTTTCTTCTTTTTGCTTGATCTTTCGGAACCTGATCCCACACCGATTGCAAAGACTCTGCAAAAATTAAAACATCCAATTATAAAGACTATGGTTATATCCATTAAGTTCCACAACAACAAGTGTTATATCTCTATGAAAAATGCTAGGGAGACCATCGTTAGAGACCAACTTGTATACAATCTCTCTAATACAGGTGGGACCCACTGTATACACGTATATATGTATACCTATTTAATTACTTTACGTACACCTTTTTGATCAATGATTTGGATTCATAGTCTAATAACAAAAAACGGACTTGATTGTTTGACTTTGTGTAAAGCTTACCTTGGGGCCAAGGGGACCAGTACGCCACATGGGAGATTCGGTAACACGACAGTTATAGTTGGTGCAAGTTTTATTGTTGTCACCAACTTTAGCTGGACCGCGTCCGGTAGTCTTCCTCTTTCTCGAGCCACCAGTTTTTCCTCTTCTGTTGGATATGTTTATTATACAGTAGTTCTTCAACTCCGGTGGAGCTGGAAATTCATATTGCTTATATCCATTAACGTTGGGATTGTTGAGGCTAGATCTATCGACGGCCTACCAAACAATTTTTATGTGTAAAACAAATTAATCATCACTTTGAAATATCACAGACCAAACATTACACATGACTATTGTACATTAATTCAGAAGATTAAAAAATAAAAATAAAAGTAATCATCATCATTAGCAATCATAATTGCATGGCTTCTCTATAATGAACTATTATTAATGGGTACGTAGGTAACATATATACGTACATTTCATTTTACAGCTGAAATAATTGAGTAGCTAAAACAACAACAAATTCTGTCAAATTTGTATGAGATAATTATATGCAACTTAGATGGAATAAGATAAAATGAAAAAAAATATTAACCAATAACATCACAAAGATTTATGGCATCTGCCAAAGACTCTAGTCTCGACTACTTTGCTAGAGAGATGAGCACTCGGAATACACAAACAACAAGAGAGAGAAGAATGTTTGAACTTGGTGATATTTGATCCTAGTATTTTCACACGAATTAGATCTCCAGGTATAAGACTAAATTTGGTGGTTTCATTTCTGTAAGCGTTGACAGCGGCGTTCGCCTCTCAGAGGACAGCCAGTGAGGTGCTGCACCCACCCTGAGGCGGCTTTCCAAATAAAAATGACGAACGTTTAGGGTTTTAAGGGTACTTTAGGAATATTGGACCTTTGAATTAGCGGCGGCTATCAAAACTAAAAAGATTAACACTAGGGTTTAAGAGGTAGTTTAGGAAACTTATATTTTGTGACCCGGATAAGCAATAGCGAGTCACTCTAATAATTATTGCACTAAAAAATAATACTAAGGTTTACAATGTGTTTACGAAACATTTTAAGTGACAACGAACAAGTTTAGCACAAAAGGTATTGTCATTATATTTATTATACACTATTTGACCAATATATTTAGTAATAATTAAAACCGGGTAGCGGTAGTTATTGTCACTCTCTAGTACGGTAGTGTGATTAAATACATTCCCGCAGAATGCTGGTGGTAAATGAAAATGCAAATAGCACTCCTTTAACGATAGATAGTAAAATAAACCCAAAAACTAGAGCTAGCACATATATATAGGAAAAAAGGTTAGGAAATTGCCTGGGAGGTAGAAGAATCATTTGCAGTATGGGATTGTTGATCAATGTTTTTGTTGGAAGATTGTATTCCTAGCCTCAGGGTGAGGTCCACCAAACAATCCGTACCTCCTAGACTGGCTTCATGTTGATCAAAGTTGGTCATTTCGAAACCATTTTGAACACATTTGGGATCCATATGTTTTCTCTGGAAATCGATCGTATCATATCAAAGTTAGATCTTTTAAGATAAGTAAGCCCATGGAGAGAGAGAGAGAGAGAGAGAGAGAGAGAGAGAGAGCTCTATCCAGATCCAGGCATGCATGAAAGTTGAAACTGAAAGACATGATGGCGCAAAAACAGAGAATGATCTGGAAGGCTGACACACATACACACATACACACACAGACTAGAAAGGGACAACATTTTCCATGAGTAGATACCAAAAGAACATCATTAAGACTGCAGATCTATCTAGGGTGTGAGAATGTGTGAGATCAGAATCAGATTAGACAAGAACATCACTAGTAGTGTTACCTTTGATTCTAAACCTAGATATAAACGTGCATATATTTGAACTTTAGTCCTTTTATTAGGTATATTATTTTGAATATACACGTCAGTACAAAGCTGTATATACATTCATATTCATAAGTACATTAATATATATATATATATATAACTTATGAGTTTACTGAAAAAAACCATCTTATCTAAAGATGAAAATCTAAATGCCGCTTATCATTTTGAATAATCAGTAACTAATGGTCTATATGCATATACATAAAAAAATTCCTAAAAACAGGGAGAAAAATAGAGGTACATGTAAATGCTATGCACAAATATATCACAAATATATATACAGAAATTCTCCTATGTGGACCTCCAGATGTTATTATTGTGCAGACGTCATATATTTTTTCACTACCCCTCATTGCTTTCCTTCATGTTTACTATGGCATTCGCACGATAATTACGTGCAGACATTCGGATGAGAGAATAATTGATATATATATATATATGATTTTTAAATTTGGGAAAAGATCGGATAAAAGCGATCAATATCAAAAGTGTTGAAAGGCACCAAACGTGTGTCCCTGTTGCATATATACATAATAGATCATGAATCCCCTAACATATATACACATAAATCTTTTATATATATATTATACAAATGAACCAAAATATCCGATCCATATATATATGTAACTTAATATTTATATAGATAATTAAAAATCTATAATTTTGACAACAAAAAAAATATCATGATCAAGATAAAAAATAAATGGATCTCCCATTTTTTCCCTTTTTGATCTGTTTTGATGTATGAAAGATCTACAACCCTTCCCTTTAAACGCCACAGCTATAGATATATAGATCTTTCATGCAAAAGAGAGAGAGAGAGAGAGAGGGTTGATCATGAGCAAATATTGATCTCCCCTTTTCGACTCTCAACATCGATCAGTCACATGGCTACTGTATACACAAACAGACACACATTTGCACACCAAAAGGGTGATGAGAGAGAGAAAAAATGGAAGAAAGGAGAGACTTACAGGGCAGGAGAGTAGAAATCTAGTGATGCAAAATGGTGTTTGGTATAAGGTTGGAGGCTATGAATGTGCTTGGAATGGGAATGAAATACCAAATTTATAGAAGTCGTCCCAGAAGGAAAAGGGATGGTCTTTTATGGAATGTCCAATAAAAAATCTTACGGAAAATTGTTTATACATGAATTCAATGCCAACAAAAATATTTATATTATTCTTTTAGGTCTGTGAAAAGCAGTAAGCTTCACACACAGAAGTGTAAACATATATCAAGCTGAATACTTTGCATATATGACTAGAATTTAGATTTTTTTATATATAGAGTTGCAGGATAAAATGGACCCTGGAAATTTGAATAAAATCCAATCAAATGGCTTGGTCCCTTCCAGAATGAATAACGCTCCAGGACCAGGATTAGGGTAGATTTAAGAGGCTTTACAACACAACATATCCAGCAAATTTCTTTTGTTTTGGTAACCTTGTAATGGTGGTTTGTCCCTACTACTATGCCTCAACCCATTTATATATATATATATATATATATATATATATATGAGGGTTGGTATGCTATAAAAAGATAATTTCTGTCTTTTATATTACCTTGTTTGAAAGTTTATATATGGTAAAAGAGCTGGACCATACTCTGTATCTTCTTAATGTGATGAACTGACTGCAGGTTCACATACGCTTAAGCTTCATGTCACCCGTCACCTCATCGCCTAGTTAGTAACCAGTGAAGTAGACCAAAAAAAACTTTCGTTTCTCATACACTTCTCAATCATACAAAAAAACACACACACACACACATTTTTTAAAACCATATGTATTATCCACATACATTTTTTAATGTTTCATATATATTTTTTAATAATCCAAGCATAATTCGCGTACACGTACGTAATTGTTATTCATATTTTTCTGTCCCATACTTTACTAACTATTCCTCATCCTTAATTTCCTTTATATTTACATATATACACAACACACACAGAATATATATATTATTATCAAACAGTCTCGTATATAAACTTCTGGAATCACCCCAATTTTCCTTAACATTCACTTTTTTTTAAAAAAAAAAGAAAAGAAAAAAGAAGTAAATTAATGAAGTTCAAGCCACCAAATAGAAAGGCAAATTTGTTGAAGGTGCTACAATAGTATGATAAATTGATGCAAAAAAGAAAGAAAAGGAAATTGACTTCAACGAGCTTATTCAGTTGTAAAATAAGGAAAGATAAGAAACGGTTTTTTTTGGGTCAAAATTAGAAACGATGATATATCGTAATTTAACTGGTATTTGTGTTTAATAAAACATGGAGTAATAAGCACTTTTCTTTTACTTCTTGGCAACCAAAAAAAAAAACACAAACACTACGTTTTTACTTGGTTTGTTAAATCCCATATTCAAATATTAAATCCATGTTCAAAGTCCTATGGACGAAAATTTGAATCTATTTGGTTGTTTATTTGTGAAGGTGTAAAATTTTAGGAGGAAAGTAATATTGCCACTTGTCGTATAACTCGAAACTGCAATCTTTGTACAGAAAAACAATTACGAAAAATGTAGACAAAATTACAAAGAAACTACTCCCCTCTCTTATTTTGGAAGGAGTTTTCTTGTTTTTTAGTACAGGTGATTGGGGAAGGTGCACACTAACATTCTCTAGTGTTTGGAGGTTTCGAACCTCTACCCACATGATTTGAGGCCAAAAAGCTCAACCAACTGAGCTAGCATCTTGTTTAGATATAGACAACGCACCTTTCCAAATTTGTGCAAAAGAAAGTTGTACAATTAATAATTACTGGAAAGTTCTCCTAAGTTATAGTATCTATTCAAAATTATTATTTGTCAACGTTTATATTTATAAAAAATTCTTCCTATATTCATGTCATGTTTTACAAGTTTTACCCTTTTTAAAAGAAAAGAAAGGTGCAAATGACCCACTAATGTCGTGGTTTGGAGCAATTGTTCCTCCAGGAAAGGTCATGGGTTCGAGTCTTAGCATCCGTGTAATGTGTGTGTTTAGTATATTATTCCTCCTCTTAATAGGAAAGGTCCTCAAAAGAAAATAAAGGATATATATATATATATATATAGTGATTATAATTTATTTTAATAAAAATATCTCCACAATTTGTGTTGAGGAGGTTAGGAACGAAGTTCGGGCAGAAGGCTTTGGGTTCGAAGGCTGTAACAGGGGTTTATAATGAGGAAGTCCTCAATCGTCATCCGATCAATTGCAGAACTATTATTGAACAGTTAGATTGAACTCTTCAACACGAGTCTCTCCTCAACATAACCGCCTCATTACAGAAGCTCCTGTAGAATTTGCTGTCTTGGTTCTAGTTCTAGAGTTTAGGGCCAGGCTTGGCGTCCAAGGTACAAGGACTAGGCCTTGAGGTATGCGTGTTTGGTATCCAATGTCCGACTTCTATAAATTTGTTGTGGAAATTAGGAATGAAACCCTAAAATGAAGTCCTAATAAGTACGAATACTTGTGTAACAAATATTTTCTTCCAATTTTACTTTTATAAGTATAATAGAACCATGTTAATTACATAAGGCGACTCTTGGAGTCGGGCAGCAAAAACAACAACAAAGCGCAAAATGGATCTCTTCACATTGAACAAAATGAATTGACAAAAATGGTTTTCAAGGGCCAGAATGAAGACCGCTCTGCACGAGCTGTTTAAAGTACAATTATCATAATTACTGTTGAAAGAAAAAGGATTTGACAAAACAAGGTTAGACTATCTGACCTCACAATGGATACTTGGGTCTCTGTGCGAATGGTCTTTTTGAAATGCTTTCTGAACCCTTATGGTTTTTTTTTCTCCCTTTTTTTCCATAGGTGAGGAAGATGTCTGTAACTTCATTGTTGCTGCCTTGAAGCATGCTGTGGGAGGAAGATGTAGGAACTCTCTCGCAGATGACTTTCCGCCATTTGCCTCCTGCCCACATTCCTAACTGCATCCGATTCGGCCTATGCTTTAAGAGATTTATCTCCATTAGCCTTCTTTCTCTTCTTTGATCTTTTTGCTTGAGATTTTACATTCTTCTTTGATGTATTTGTAGAGTGTTTATGCTTCTTGCTTTCCAGTTTTGAAGGCGCTGGTTTCCTCTCTTCATCTTCCTCAGCTGAGAAGGTGTCACTTAAAGACCCATCTTCTTCATCAGAACTGAGCGCCAAGTCCTGAACAATATCTTCATCCATGGCTACTTGGTCCTGGTGCTCAGTCTTTCTCTTCCTTTTCTTCTTTTTCGTATCATTGGGTTGTTTTGCCCTGCAAACCAATAATATTGCAACAGAAATACAAAACCAACAATTATTAGAAAACAAGAGAGAGAGAGAGAGAGAGAGAGAGAGAGAGAGAGAGAGAGAGAGAGAGAAATTGAGTGTGTGTATGCTATGAAGAACGGGACCAGGATGAACTGAAGACAGTAGTGCCTTCCTCATCCTTGGGGTCATATTCTTCATCACTTTCCCGTACTTTACTTCCAAATACAGATGAATGCTCCCCCACGAGAACACTGGAACCCATTTGCATGTTAGAAAATGATATACTAAAGATGATACCATGAATATGAACCTAATAGAAAATATGATCTCAGACCTGGATTCAAACAACGAATCATTTCTTTGTTGTGCTACTTGGCGTAGAGTTAAAACGTACTTCGATAGAGGGCTTACCCCTGACTTTTTCTCATCCTATGACAACATATAAGGAATTCAGTTTCTCCAAGATTATATAAAAAATATATGAAACAAAGGGCAAAGCATTCAAGAAAAAGGTGACCAATGAATTACAACACATATACCATTCATAAGGGCTTATCAACAAATTACATCATGAAAGACCTTTTTCAGATGACAAAAATGTTTGTTTGAAACATCTCTGTTCCAACAAGAAAGAAGTAGTTGTTTTGATTACAAAAAAGGGAGTTTCACTAAAACACCCAAAATGGGGGCTGAAATTAGAAAAAAACCCAACACCCAAAACACTTTATAAACACACCCAAAACCCATCGTTACACACACTCAAAACCCATTTATAAACACACCCAAAAAATATAAAATTGTTGATTTTGGGGTTGATTTTGGGTGTGTTTCTATATTTAAATAGTGTTTGGGTTTTTTTATAAATACATGTCTAGGATTGGGTTTATTTATAAATTTGTATACAAAAAATATACCACTTTTCAACACTCTGCACCAAAGCAGCATGAGTTGAACTATGTTGACCGTGCAGTAATCAGCAGGTTGCTGATTTAGCATCACCTATTTGTCTTTCATACCATTCAGACTATAATTATACTATTGAAAAAGAAACACCAATATCAAGCCAAGTAAAGCAGGGATAAGGAGCAACTCTTCTATCTGGTCCAGTGACTTTCACCATGCTTTACGATTATTGGCTAGTAGCAAAGTACATACACATAGAACAAGTTTGATGGCAAACTCACAAAGGGAGAGAAAAAAAAATATGGAAAGTGCATACCTCCAGGAAAGATGCTGCTGCAGGATCATTTGGTAGAAAAGAAATTGACATACGCCTTTCATTTGTAAACTGACAGTTAGCCTCAATCTGGGGCATAGAATAGCTGAAACATTAGCTATGTGCACAAAGGCTTTCCCATATTTAAAGGATGCAATCATTAGCAGACAAAACATACCTGACGAATAAGCTCCCTCATTGCTTTCCGGAACCTCTCAACCTTGGTTGATTTGCAGAAGCTGCGCAATCGTACAGCTGGAATAAAAGACAACTCAGGGAAAGCAATAGAATAGCTCCACTGCGCCAAATGCTCAGCAAGCTCATCAACAACAGATAGCACACATGCCTCCTGAAATGCTCTGGTCTTCAGTGTTGGCTTGCTAACCTGAAAAAAAAAACTCCATAATCAACTTAACCAATACAAATATAGTATTGAGTTTGAAGCAGAGAATAATGTCAACACTCAAGTATACCTTAAGTATCGTACGCAAATCAAGAGCTTTGCCAACACCGCCCGTGGCAGGCCTATTCAGTTCTTTCATTTCAAGCATGTCCAAAAGTAGCATAGAAACCGGTGTGAAAGTACCCGTCGAAGCAGCAATTCGATTAAGCATTCTAACACACCTCAATCTAAGGGGAAAATATCTAGCAGTTGGAACTAGACGGGCTACCCCATAAATTATTTGGGCCAGGGGATACACAACGGGCCTAAAGTCGGCTTCTGAGCCGTAGGAAGAGATGGCCCCAGTCCAGAGCTCAAGGCAGTTCATGAACTTCCACTCATACACCTTTCGGAATGCTTCCTATAAGACACAAACAGCATAAGTGAAATGCAAGAAACATAGTGCATCTGCTACGTTTTGAAATAAATATAATTGTTAGATTTTTTTATATAAAAAAAGCAATAGAAACTAAAATTTTGTAAAATGGAGGCAGAAGCTAGCATTTTTATTCAATGTGACCAAGAAAATCTTTTTGTTTTTATGTAAATAGAGGCAGCTTATGTAAACAGACAATTTTTCAGGCAAAAATAACAAAATTGGTACGATGATCATTCTTAAGTCCAACAAAGATTTATGCTGCAACAGAAATGCAATAACATAACAAAGGGTAAACAATAATATCTAAAGGCTTGTAATACCTTAGTTTTTGCATTGAGTGCTTCCCGCAAAATCATTGCTAATTGTCGAATGAAAACAAAGGCATGTTGATATGCAGTGGGAAGGTCTACACCGTAGAGTTCGATTACACAATTTGCACGAAATTGGACATGTTGCAATTTTGCTGCAGTTATAAACTGGCAGTTCAAGACATAGGCTTTGTATATCCCCTTAAAGCATTCATCTAAGCAATCGGATCCAAGCCGAACACACAAATCTCTTAGAAACAGAAGGGAGACAAGAGGGAGGGAACCTCCCCCTAAACCCCATAAGTCTACAGCAGTCTGTGAAAAGTAATACAAATTATTTAGTTCCCACTTAACCAACATTAAAAAGAATACTATAAAGAGAAATATTAAGCGGTAAAGACCAATAACAGATATCTATTCTGAATATAACCTACATGCCCACATATAATGAAATTGGCAATTTATATAGAATGTAGATAGCAGTGACCACAACCTCAAGCTATATCCAAAGCACAGGCAGTAGAGCAGTAAAGATATAACAACAAAGAAGAAAGTATTTCAAACAGAACATAAAATCATGTGTATCTCTGTACTTACCTTAATGTACTTCCTTAAGAGAACAGGAAAAGCAGCCAAAAATATGGAAGAGTATTGAAGACGCCGTAAAGTAAATGATATCATTTCTGTGTCAGTCATTTGACGCAAGACATGTAAGGCATTTCCAAGATATGACTTCACTAAATGGTTGTAGTTCTTCCATCGTTTTGTGTTCATCACATCTAGTATGGTCTCCTTCTTCCCACCAAAAGCAGGGAGCTCCAACAATTTTCGGATTATTCCATCCATGTCCTTAAGTACAAATAACATCACTTTATTAAAGACACTGCTAGACATAACACTGAAATCTAACATAGACTCATCCTCTTTATCGTCACCATAGTGGCAGGCAGTGCGGAAAGCTTTCATTAGAGAATGAATAGCACTCAACTTCCCATCTTCTCTAATTGAGTTGCACCAGGAATCAACCATTTCACTAGTTATAACTTGTTTAGATTGTTTCTTTTTCTTTTGTACAACATCATGACGGCCAGTCTCTTCATCCACTTGTATTTCATCATCTACTGGTGTTTCATCTTCTTTCAAGTTAGTATCTGAATCTTCCTGCGTAAAACAGGGACGGGCTTAATTTCATATGTAGCATTCCCTGAGTAATACTTAAAATTTAAAAAGAAACTTTTGCATACTCACATCGATGTCCTCATCATTAAATTGTAGAAGTTCCTGGTCATGCTCTTTTAAGAAATCATAGAACTCTGGGTCCTGCAGGTTAAGAATCATTAATAACTTCATTACTTAAGTGTAATAGCATATAAAAAAAACACAATACAAAGTCATAAAATCAAGAAGTTATCAGCCAACCACAGTTTCCTTAGTAGATGGAAAATGCAGGTAACACATCAAACTTTAAAGATTACATCCCGCATCCAATTAAAATCTGGGCCAAAGCAATTCAACCACAATAGCTACAGAGCCGAAAAGTTGTTATGGAATAACAAACAAATGAAAAAACTTTGAAATTGAAATCTCAGAAATGTAACCCAACCTCCCACCAAATCAAATCCTAACTAAAGTATGAAAGCCGCAAACTTACATTCTCAAGTACATATTCTTATACTCGGATAGGCATATGCATATAAACATTTAAAAAAATACACAAATATGAATACACGCCACAAATTATGGCAAAAAAAAAAATGTACACAATAAAAATCACATATACTTGTATAAATGGCAAAGCAGAAGTTCTAACCTTCTCACTAAGTCTTTCCAGTTGGTCCTTATGCTCTTTCGCCTGACCTGGAGACTTGGAGCTTTTCTGGCTTTTGTTCCCATCTTGGTTTTTTCGACTTTTCGAATTTGTCACTGAGATTACAATTAAAGCAGTGGAATTTTAATAATTAAAAGTAAACATCAGCTTGATTATGCATAAAGCAGAAACACAGATAGAATAAGAAAACTGTTGCACATCGAGAGAGGGAACCTGGGTGTTGTTCTTCCATGACGATAAAGGGTGGCTAAGGAGTTGTTCCTGCAAACGAAAAAATAAAAATGGGAGCTGAGAGGCTTTTTTTTTTTTTTTGGTTGAGCTGAGAGGCTTAATTCAATCTTCAATTGAAAAACCTAGGCATCGGAAACACACCAATCCAAACACGGCTTTAGAGAATTTTGAGAACATGAAAAGGAGAAGGAAGTTTACCGTAACCTCTTTGCTCCAACTCTGAGAAACGACCACCAAAAACCCTAACGTTCAGTTTTGAGGTTTTGACTATTTCCTTGACTTTCTCTCCTTTTCTTGTTTTTTTTACTTCTCCATTAGCTTGTTTGGGTTAGAGCCTCAGCATCAAGCTTTTGGGCCGGGCTTAAACGCCATGGTAGTTCCTGCCAAAGAAAGAAAAATTAGTATATAGTGATAAAATAAAACAAAATTAAAGGATATATCATTTTCTCTTATAAAATTACACAATAATTTACTAATTAAAATAAACAAAAGATAAACCTTACTATATATTTTATTTAGGGAGTTTTGGTTTAAATTTACTAGCCTCTTTGCACAAACAAGGTTGATGTAAGAGCAAGTCCAGCCATAGCCCCCAGCCCCGTCAAGACAGGGCCCAAGCCCAAGCAACAGCTTCTAGTTGGCCAAGCTTGCCCGGGCAAGCCGTGTTCCCCACGAGACAGGGCCAGCTCGCAGGTGAAACCAGCCTGACCTCTAACTTGGGTTTGCTAACATCAACAACAACAAAAAAAAGTAAAAAAAATCTTAAAAAATACTAAGAATTTTAGAATTTTTTTAAATAAATACTTAGTCATATTCTTCACTTCCCACACCAAAACTCTATACAAATTCCTCTCCTCATAT